CTTTTCAGCGAAAAAAATAAAAGCGGACGGCTTTTCAGCGAAAAAAATAAAAGCGGACGGCTTTTCAGCGAAAAAAAAAGGGCGAAACGCACTATAGCGAAAATATATTTTAGCGAAGGTGCATAACAGCGAAAAAAAGAATTGCGAAAGGCAAAGGGGCGAAAAACGAGAATTGCGAAAAAAAAAATTAGCGAATGTGAAAAATAGCAAAAATCAATATCGCGAAGGGTATTTCAGCGAATTTTTTTTCTTGACGAGATTCGATTGCTTATGTTTAACGGTGATTCATCGTGTTGGATATGTATATAAGTGATAGCTCTTCCTCGTTCTGCACTTTCCAACCAACTAATCTATTTTATTTTTTTTTTCGATAAAAATTCGTCCGTATGCGATATTAACTCGCTGATACATACATATATACTTACATATGTACATACATACATACATACATACATCATTTTATTTATTAACTGACCAAATATGACTGATTCAATAGTACTCTCTTTTACCACTTCGAATCGGGGTAAACCTTTGCTTATCTATTCAGGACATGTTTATCGACTTAAAAAGTCGACAATGAAGGTAAAGTACTGGTCTTGTAATTCAAATAGTTGTTCGGCTAATGTTCATACGAACCAAAACAACCATTTTCTCAAAGCTAATGGTCATCATCATCATATGCCTTCACCAGAAGAAATTGAACTTCGAAATTTGAAACAGAAAGTCAAAGATAGAGTACAAGTTGAAACAAATTCTATACCAAAAATATATGAGGAGGAATTAGCTCGTTCTAATCTCTCTCCAACTGCTCTCATCCTTGCACCTGTTGCGACTGAAGCTAGTAAGTTCTTCTTCTTTTGAAATTTGTAATTTTTTTCTTTGTTCTATAGAATCTAATTTAAATCGTATTCGTCGAAAAACAACTGCACCATTACCAACATCAAGCGAATTTGAAATACCTGATACGTATCGAAATACATTCAATGGTGAACTATTTATTTGTACTGATACGATAGTAAACAAAAAAAGAATGATTCTTTTTGCTACTGATCAACAACTTGAACTTTTATTCTCATCTGAATGGATTTTTCTCGATGGGACATTTGATGTATGTCCAAAACAGTTCAAACAACTTTATACTATTCATTGCTTGAAATTTCAACAAAGTGAGTTTATATATAATTCAAAGTTTCTATATTTTCTATTTCTCTTTTAGATTTTCCTTGTGTTATTAGTCTTCTCTCGGGAAAGTCAACTGATATATATCGACAATTATTATCTGAACTTGAATATCATGCTGAACGATTAAAATTGAAGTTTGAACCAGTTCACATTATGTCAGACTTCGAAATGTCCTTGATTAAAGCTATTAAACAAAAAGTTTGTATCTTCTAAATTTATCGTTTACTTTAATTTCTCTTTACTAGTTTCCCAAGGCAATGCATCATGGTTGCTTCTTTCATCTATGTCAATCTCTTTATAAAGAAGTACAAGCACTTGATCTTGCTGAAGCTTATCTTAATGACGAAGATATACGTTTAGCTTGTCGGAGCACAATGGCTCTTGCTCTTATGCCATTTGAACATATACAAAAAGCCTTCGAGCTTCTCAAAAAAGATTCACCTGAAGAAATGGAGGATTTCTTTCATTATTTCGAAAATCAATGGCTAAAACGAATACCTCCAAAATACTGGAATGTGCCAACCCTCGAATTCCGCACAAACAACTTTGCCGAGGGTAACTGTTTGTTTTTTTTGGAAAACATGTATCTTTTTTGTCATATAGGTTGGCACAACAAGTTTAACAATCGAGTCGAAAAACATCATCCTAATGTTTGGCACTTGATAGAATATTTAAAACGAGAAGAACTATCGTTTCGTCAACAATTAGGAAAAATAAATAGTGGTTTACAGAAGAAATCAAGCAATAAAACCTGCACCACCCGGGCACAAATTGATACATTAACTAAACGTCATGAACAACAACAAATTGATCTACTCGAATTTCTTCATGGTTTATCAACCCTGGTGGCCAAAAATTCGAAAAAAGGACTTTGAATTTTTTATTTTCATACTTCATTTCTATATTCGTTCTTTTTTCATTACTTGGTATCCGCATATTATATTTCTTTACTTCTTATGTCTGGTTAAATGTTATTTTATATTTAATTAAAAAGAAAAAGTTCTTTATTATCTAACTAATTAAAAATAAGAATCTCGCTATTTTCCATTTAACTAAAAATAAAAATTTCGCTATTTTCTATTACGCCGTTTTGTCTTTCGCAATTCATGCAAGTGTTTTCGCTGTTGCAATTTTTTCGCTAATTGTGCTTTTTCGCTCATATACTCCTTCGCTAATTTGGCATTTCGCTGAATCACTTTCCGCTATATAATTATTTCGCTTTATTTTTTTCCGCTTATTTTTTTTTCGCTGATTTCATTCGCTCAAACATTTTCGCTAAAAAAACGTTCGCTGATTTACCCCCATACCTTATTTTCTTGTTTAATATACACAAAAAACGTTTCTGACTTTTCTCAAGTTACACTGATATAACTTTTTTCTTACAAGATTTCTCGCTCTTTGGTCTATCGAATATTAAAAGTAAATTCGCGTTTGCCTTTAAATTGGCTTTAGTAGATTGAATTAATCTGTCGAGACATAAATCGCCAAAGTGTATGTTTAGATAGTTTTTGCAAGATTTAATCGGTAGATCCAAAGTGAAATTATTTTCTGTTTATATGGTCAGAAAGAGAATAGTCTTAGCTACAAAGTGGTTGTCAGAAATTATTTTTATTTAGGATTGATCAGAAAAACGCCAAGAATCTAAATTTGATGAGCTTCAGTAAGGATCGGAACCGGTAAAAAACTAAAAAAATATTTTCAAGTTAAGTATGAAAACAGTTTTTCAGTACGGGCACTATATCTGAATAGTACATTAGACGAAAAGCAGCACGCAAAGAATTTATATTTACACTGTCGCAAGCAAAATTGAATGAAATAAAATGAATTTGTGTGTTGTTGTGTGTCCTTGTTGGTTTAGAAATTGTATTTTCTTAACTATGTTGTCAGCTAATAGAGTATATATGGGGTTTAGATTGCGTCTTGACGTGTCAAAAAGATAAAGTGATAGTGAATAGTACGACCTTTTCCAATTTTATGAAAATAATTATGAATTAAGTGACTTTTGTGCAAGGAAGAATCGACGGATTGCCGGGATTCGGAATCCCATGGAAATCCTGGAAATCCCAGATATACTTAAATTAGATGCCTGAACAATACTGAAAGTATAATTCATGTTCATGCATGACATATATCACTTCATTCATTTAATATTTTGCAAGACATTCCTTTAAGAGAACCATGTGGAGGTATGGAAAATTAGCATGTGGATGTTACTGTATCGTGGGAATGGAAAGAAGACGTAAATTCCCACCCTCATTCATATCTTTAACGGAAAATTCTAGGCTAAAGAAGCGACTGTTTTCTCACGAAATAACGAGAGCCAACATTGTGGCATATACTACGATTATTTATACGTTTCAAATAGGTGAGAAATTTCAAACAGTTTGCACAATGACGCTCATATTGACTCATAGAAGGCGAATCGGACAACAACTTAAAATTTGACATAAAATATATAGCTACAATCCAACTAAGGGGCTAGCTCTGAAGACGAACTTGCTGT